ACCCTTGCCAGTGGTACACAAATATTGGACTTAAGTGCCTAACTGACCCTTTATGTGCTCAAGTCCTGCCTTCGAAATCTAGCTCATCATAATGTCAATGAGGTCATTCTGGATTTCCATTGATGATGTCACTGAAGGCAGAATTTGACCATTTGTATCTATAACAGCATCATCCAGTGACTAAGGGCACTGGTCTGGGAATTAGCAGGTGGGTTCTATTTCTGGCTCTGCCACAAGCCTCTTCCGTGACCTTGCCAAGTCATTTCACCTCTCTCAGCTTTCGTTTCTCTGTTTGTAAAATGGGGCTAATGATATTTCCCATTGTAAAGTGTGTTGAGGCCTACTGATAAAAAGCCAGTAAGAAGTATTGGAAATTATAGCTGTCAACTTGAAAAAGTCGATCCAAGTTTAGCTTTAGAGCCAACTTAGAATGGTGGGTAAAGATCATAATGTAACCAACTCCAATCTGAGAAGCCATCGTTGCTCTTCTCTGCTCACGTAGTTTCAATTCCCACCCCCCAATCAATCACAAAAGGCAGTGATATTAGTCGACTCAGGCAGAGACAGGTACATCAATATAATTACCAATTTAAATACATGATTGGCTAGCTGGCAAGATTTGGGCAAGATCACCAATATCTGGCTCTTCACCCCTTTTTTATATACCTCCCCTTCTCTCTCTGGGGCCCTTAGTGCATTCCATAGCATTGTCTGATCAGGCATTTCAATTCCTCTGCAGTGAACCCACCAGTACTGCCCTGCCGTTGCAGTTAGTCACAGCTTCTCAGTATATTATAATCCTCCTGCACCTCTCATCTCACCCGTTCGTAACTATAGAGTCAGAAACAAAGCACACTCAGAAACATCAAACTCACACAAAAAAGGGAAAACCAGGAAAGCTGATAACAGGCACTATGGTTGGTCAAATCTTGCCAGCCTGTGTAATCATACCAGAAATAGACTGCTTACTGGAACATTAACTATTAAACACGCGCTTGAAGTGCTTTTCTGAGCAATGCTTTGCTGAATGTGGGCCTCTGCCACTGAACAGCCCTTAACAAGTAATAATAAGAGCTAAAAGAATGTGCATATGGCAGGAGTTAGAATGAAGGACTCTGGCTCACATAATTCCAATCAAGACCAACCAGCCCCAGTTTCAGAGGAGATGACTGAGACAGCAAAGAGAAAATCAACATGGATCTAATGTGAAACAAGTCCTGCTGCGTGTGTGCCACAGGACTGCCTGCCCACGCCTTCTCTGCAAACCTTACTCACGTTGCATTGCCATCACACAAATAATCCCATTGAACTAACTGCAAAGCCTGCAAAAGCAACCCCTAGCTTTTGTATGTGACACACAGCAGTGGCTGTGTTTAGGGAACTAAATTAAGAAGCACATTAGGAAGTCCGTCCTGTCCCTCCCCGCATCCAGTGGTGTTTTAGGAGTGCTTACTCCTCCCATCTTTAGCAGCATGGTTAACTGCTACGGGCTGTGGTTATTCTAGACTCAGCCTAAACTTTACAGGTAACGCTTGTTCAGCTGACCCAGATACACTGACATCCACAAATACTATGTAAATTATGGACCATGTCTGAATGTTTTTACCCCGGGCTCTGTCTGGAGTAATGCATATAACAAACCACCAGACATAATAATGATAGACAACTGTTGTGGTAATAAGAGGCTAATCAATAATTCATTTGCTATTCATTGCACATTTAATCATGATAAATTAATGGGGTTTCAATGTGGCACTAACATGCATGTCCCTGGGAATTTAACAATTAATGTACTGTTATTTTAAAGTGCAGCTGTCCTTGCTTCGCAGACACTCAAAACTGGCAACACCCTAGAGAAATAGGGCAATAGCTGGAAAGCGTTGCAAACCTTTCGGCTTTTCATCTGCCCATCTCTGACTCCCCTTTTAGATCAATCCATTCTTTCCATTTACCAGAATCACTGGAGAGGGGATGGGAAAATTATTATTTGTGACCAAGAAAGGTGAATCATATATTTGGGAGATACCAATTCCCTCTTCTTTATTAGTCATAAAGAACTGAATATGCTCAGGCTGCTGAAAGCCCTGAATTCAACACCAGTGTCAGAGTTATAGTGGTGTAATCCACACACCTACTGGGTGTGGTTCACTGTCCCATGTAGTGACAGAGAGAAAACGCATGAGTGGGCTCTACAGCTGTAGCTGGGAGCCAGCTGGCTTTGAGCTCAAGCTGTAGGCTCATGCACTGAGTTCCCAGGTTTGGTTTCACCTGGTGGCATTAGATTAGTAGTATACCAATTTACCTACAAAGCAAGGCTGTAATGTTGCTCTTAATTCGCCGCTTATGCTGGGATATTAGATTTGTTCCAAATAGCAAGCCTTGCAGAAAGATATACTTGTATGGTTCTTGTATTTGAAATTGTTAAATCCTTTAGAGTAGTTGCAATAATCATCATTCATCTTCCCTTCCTGTGACAAAAGCTACAGGAGGGACTTGGGCACAGGAGAGAATTCCCATGTGGATTGCTTCTATCTACATCATTGTAGCAGGGTTTGCAAGCTCCAGGAAACCAGTACAGGGCCTGTATCCAAAGAGACTGATCCCCTTTCCAGCACTGGGAGATCCACATGGAGGTCCTATGCTTTTGCACAGGCTTCCAACAGCACTCGCTGGGGAGTCACTAACAGGGACATCCCTATGCTAGTTATGGCTTCCCAAACCTTCCCACATTTGTGTGTGTGGGAAGGGACGTGTGATGGCTGCTCCAAAGAAAAGCTCATTCAGGCCCTGGCTGAAATCTGCCATAACATGTTAGCTGTGGACTTCTCCATGGGGTTGATACAATTGCTGGAGATCACTGGGGCTCAAGGAAGCCCCAGCTATCCCCTTTTCCCTAAGACATAGTCACTGCACAGGCAGCTGGGAGTTAGCCTAGCAGCCAGGAGATCCCCTTACAATGGGCTGATGCACCAGTAGCTAGCAAGCTATGCAGCCGTTAGGCTACTTGGCACCAACAATGTTGCACAAATCAGCCGTTCCTATGATTTTAGAACTTTAAAAAAAAATATTATACCTACGCTGGCTCCCTACACTGGCCATAAGGCTCTTTGCTGTTGGCATTGATTCAGCCAAGAATCTGTTCACACCCCCTTCTTGTTTCATTTGAATTCAAAAGAAGGATTTATTGGATTGAGCTGTATTGCAAACAATATTTAGAAACTTCTACCTTTATCTTGCCTTCTTTTTAAGTGCTATCTTTTTGTCCTTGGCTGTTCTAAATTATTAACATATCCTACAGTGTGCTTGAGATAAGAGAGAACCTTCAGCTTTTATTCTCCCACCCGTTAGTCAAGCCAGTTATGCTGTTTCTCACTGGATATCTTTGATCAGCCTGCTTGTTGGATGCTAAGCCACAGGGACACCACTGCTGAGAAAGAAAACAGAGAGGGAGTCAACCTTTTAATAATCCCTAGTGTTCTGCATGCACAATTCCCACCAGATTCAGAAATGTCTGGTGATCTAGACAGATTTGTACAAGCACACAGGCAGGGTAGGGCACTGATCATCCTTATATTAAGGGCAGCATGTTTCTAAACAGTTTAATACATTTTTATTAGATGTTACATGGCTATATATAAGCACATCAGTGTAAGAGGTTATGGATGCTTATAAGCCATCTTTTGACCTGTTGGACTCAGACAGACAATTGTCCATTCAGCATGTTAAACTAATTTTGAATGTTCCCTTAATGTAATGTGTCATCAAAATACCTCTCTGCACAATGAGTAGTACTTTCTTCCACAAGTAGCCTCACTAAGATTATTCATGATGCAAGGTACCATTTAAAGTTAGAGTCTCACTGTGTGACCCATAGAAAGTATTGGAGAGACAAACTAGGTGTGGTACTATGTTTTATTGGAGCCATTACCACCTCACCTACTTTGCCTTTCTAATGTCCTGGGACCGACATGGCTACAACACTGCATGCAATCACAAAAAGTAGAGCAGTAGACGTAAGGCTATTGTATTACCCATGGTTCATATGGGTAATCCTCACTGATATCAGTGTGAATTACACTGTAGATTAAAGAGAGTAGATGGTCCATACATTGCAACTGTGTGGGTTTGTACATATATGTGTCCAGTGAGTATAGTAAGGAGTGGGGGGCGTCTTTCCCCCTTCTTTTTACTATCATGTTGATAACCTGTAGTCAGAGCAGAAGTTGTGCATTTGCACAGTCACATGGTGTCTGGTTTCTTCCCCCACAACTTTTTTGTGGTTGTAGCACACAAACATAGTATGAGTTTAACAGATCCTTTGTAAAAATATAGTGCTGACTTTATATACAACTTTTGCAAGGGTTCTTGAACCAGATGTTCCTACAGGATGGAAATTAATTAGAAAAGAGAGCATGCATAAGTGAACTGCCATGCATGTGATCAGCTTTCTTTCCTTTCCATGATAAAGTATAACAGAAGTTTTGTTACAGAGACATTCATTCCACACTGCTACATTAAATGTCCTTTTGCACCAAAGGATATGCTGTCTCTAATAAATAGCTAAAGAATTGTTAAACAATTAAGATGCAGATCCCTCTGGAATAGGAGGCAATAGTTTGTCTATTACATAAGCAAAATGCAGGACTATGTAGCACTTTAAAGACTAACAAGATGGTTTATTAGATGATGAGCTTTCGTGGGCCAGACCCACTTCCTCAGATCAAATAGTGGAAGAAAATAGTCACAACCATATATACCAAAAGATACAATTTAAAAAAATGAACACATATGAAAAGGACAAATCACATTTCAGAACAGAAGGAGGATGCATATATGGTTGTGACTATTTTCTTCCACTATTTGATCTGAGGAAGTGGGTCTGGCCCACGAAAGCTCATCATCTAATAAACCATCTTGTTAGTCTTTAAAGTGCTACATAGTCCTGTATTTTGCTTCAGCTACACCAGACTAACACGGCTACATTTCTATTTCTATTACATAAGAGTGTATCGCCATCTAGAGGATACCATGCTTTACAAACAAAAAACAAAAACAAAAAGCAAAACAATAAGGCCCTATTCTGGTTATACTTATACCAGTGTAAATCTGAAGTAATTCTACTAGGATTACATTGGTGCAAAGTCAATGCATGCATGATCAGAATTGTGTCCAAAGCATATTACTAGATGATTTGCATCTAATCCTTGCAGACAACCCACTAAATTAACAAGTTTCTCTCTTTATGCACAACTAATTAGGTGTCTCATTACCACTCACTCCCCCAGAAAGACTTTATTTGAGCACATAACATTGCACACATGCATTGCAGGGAGAACATCTCCTTTACAACATATGGCATATGAAACAAAGATCATTCACAACAGCAAATAAAAATCTGATCCAAAATTTAAGGGACTTGTCAAACTTGTAATGCAGAGCCCTGACACTTTGTAAGCTGGAATCATTGGGACTGGATTTGTATTGAAGATTATAGAAGGCAACTGTAGCTGGAGATCATTTTTCCAAATACGTTTGACAGGATTAAAATAATACGTGCATTCACAAATTGAAATTTTAACTACAGTTTTGCATCACACAGTCCCATCACCCTTTGCTACGAACAGACTATGAAAAGATATTGTCAACATCAGTGCTGCAGTGACCTTCCTCTCTTCTCACATGCAAGTCTGCTGGGACTAATACTTTTTGAGGACTATTCCTTGTCCCTTGACTACAGCACATGGAAATATTTATATCATTTTCGGCAAAAGAGTTTATAAATCATTCCAGATGTGAATGTATAGGTCTGCACAGCTTAAAACTTTGTTCCTCCCACAGCTATGTTCCCCGTTTAAGTTGGGTGATCTCAGATCTTACAAAACTGCTTAAGAAAATAGGATATAAAATGCACTAAACAAATATGTTAGCTCTTCTAAAGAAAGCTTAAAACAGTTTATGAAAGTCATTGAAGAGTTCCAAATGTCTGTTATTTTGTCTTGGAATAAACATTTTCTTTTAAGTTTTAATGGCGTTTTTGGAGCTATGTAGAGACTACAAATGAAATCAGAGCCCATTTGGGGTAGGTACTGTAGAAACACATAGGGAGACACAGACCCTACCCCCAAAGAGCTTGCAATCATAATAGAAAAGGCAAACAAAAGAGGCTGGCACAGGAAACAAAGACTCCAAGAGGGGAATTGTCCATAGTATGCAACAGGTTAGCAGCAGAAACAGGAAGATATCCCAGGTCATCTATGTCTCAGTTCACTGCACTATCTAGCTATTTTAGGCACTTGTAAGGCCCCTGTGACCGGGTGTGCCCATCAGGACATGACTCATGCAGCCACAAGTAGTTGATTGTAGGTCAGCTGTCCTTCCAGCTCAGTCTTACCCTTCCAGACTGCTGAGGTTAAAAAACAAATAAAATCAGAAATAAGAAACCACAGCTCAAAACAGAGTCATCCGCTGAATATTCAGTGGGACCCTCTCTTCTATTCAGGACTTGTCTTCAAGCAGTCCGTATTTCAGCTGATCTGCCAGCATCTCGTCATCCCTTCTTATGGGGCTTGTCTGACTGACACAGTCTTTGGGCTGCATCCAGGCTTCTCTCACATCAGGAGAAGCAGATCTGAGCACACCAGGTCTCCTCTTTTTAACACCCCTTTCCATATTTCACATTTGCTGCCAGTGTACTGGGTTGGGTCTCATTGGCTCCCCAGGCTCTCATTAGCCCTTTCGTTGCCAACATGGGGCTTATCTTTCTTACCACAGCTCCCTATCATTGTAGTAGCTGAGCATGGGCAGTGCGTGGCATTCTGGGGGCGGAGTCTTGGCAGGGCCAGGATGGCAGTGCCTTCTCCTGCCGAGTATACCTGCCACCCTGTAGCTAAGCTTTTAACAGTACCTCATGTATTTACCCTCACAACACTCCTGTGAGGGGGGAAGTTGGTTATCCTCTTTGTACAGATGAGAAGCTGTACTACTAGATTCTAAATATTTTTCAAATTTTACCAAAGAACTGACATTTCTAATTGATTCCACCACAGAATATCATCTGTATGCCTTACCCGTCTTCTCTGGCTCAGGGTTCCCCCAAACACACAGTGCACCACTATTACCATGTAAATTATAATAGTGCCTGGAAAACCCAGGTACTAGCCATCATCCAGACACAGATCAAAAGGACAATCCCCGGTGCAGGGAGCTTACAATCTACCCCTTTTGTAAGCACCACCAAAAACTATTTCCTTTTATGGACCTGATTTGGTAGTCCCTAACCAACAAAGTCCCTGCTGATCTAAATACGAGAATTTGATCGGGTCTTGAAGTCTGGGTAACATGGATGCAGGACAGAGGCCTTATATTTTCCTTTATGAGTGCTTTCACATACTGTGTGTGTATACCAGATTGTTCACCACCAGTAGGTCTACACTGAGCTGCCTTTATAACCTATATAAGGCCACTATGGATAAACCAGAAAGTTTCCGATAAGAGACACATTAATCCCTTTCCCAGTTAACATTGGTTCAGGGATCATGTACATTAAAAACTACATTATAATCTATAAGCACGAAAGGTCGAGTTAATTCTACAAAAGCAACATTAGCTTGGCCACTTTCTGGTTTTTGAGTGCTTAAAGACAGAACCTTAAAGTTTGGTTTCACTATAAAAATGACTCTGGAGAAATGGCCCCTTCTTAACAGATCTGCCTCCAAAAATCCACAGAGTTCAGAACTGCTGTCTGTAATGATCAACACTTTTTTTTACTCCTTTAAGTCCTGTAGAATGAATGCACATAAGAGAAAGTGCACTGCAGATTCTATTCCATCTTGTGCAGCACCAACAGAGATATATGTAGTATAATCCAACTGGTAACTCCACAGCAAATCTACTGAAGACAATGTGGTAGCATAAGTATCAGTGAAAAAACCAGTTCACACAGGTGAAGCTGATATTTCTGCCCAGTTTTTACTCATCTTCTCATTGAAGCTGTTAGGAATTTGCCTGAATAAAGAGTAAATGAGAACTGAAGGTTTGCCTCTTCAGAACTGTACAGAAGTCTTTTGATAAATAGCGAGAGAAAAGTGTTTCTGTATCTGTATGTGTGATCTCACAGTTTAATCTTCTAATCCTTTGGTAGAAAGGGTGTTAGTCCAAGCTACTAGATTGTCCACCTCTCTTTCCCATAGCTCTTCTTCTTTGCTGTGGGGTCTCTCTTTACCGGCTGCTTGATTTTTCGGTACTAGACCAGGCATATCTATGGTTTGAAATATGCAAAGCAAAACAGATTAATAAAGAGAAAGGAAACAACAGGTAAGTGCAAACAAGCTTTCCAAAATAAGCCACAGCCACATTTTTCATTTTTAAAGTGCAGTTTTTTATATGCTCTATTTCTGGATACATATCTCCTAGGCATATACAGAGGCTGTACACATGCACACTATAAATCCAGTGATACGTTTGTGATAAAGCACACTTATCACATGATTTATTCTGCAATTTATATAGAGCGCTGTCTGCCTGTCCTGAACTCTGACCACTGTCCCATCTAAATTGGGACTACTTTTAACATCATCAACTGCTTAATCAATTGTCCCCAACCTATCAAATGCAGCGTCCCACGTCCCCCATGTTAGCGTGGGGCTTGAGCTCAGACTTAGGACAGGAAATGTTCTGTCCTGAACCACTTATAAATTCTTTCTGCCATTTAGACCACCACACTCAGGCTATGTCTATACTGGTGGGTTCTTGCGCAAGAACCCGCAGAGCGTCCACACTGCCCGCCTGCTCTTGCGCAAGGAAATTTACAGTACGGCGTGGTAAGAGAGGGCGCCTTGCGCAAGAGCTACGCTCTTTCCTAACAGGTGTAAGCTCTCTTGCACAGGGCTCTTGTGCAAGAGGGCAGCGTGGACGCGCGGCAAAGGCTTCTTGCGCAAGAACTGGCCTCACGGGTAAACAACACAGGTGGCCTCTCCAACACTCCATACACGCAATCAACACTCGCTGGTTCCCCCTAGCTGGCCTCCCCTTAAAGGCACAGGCACCCAGCGGAGCCGCGTGCCATGTGCAGTCCCGGGAGCAGCCAGGGGGAGCGATGGCAGCTGCTCAGCCACAGCCAGGTCCCTTAGTCCCCACCCAGGAGCCACCCCAGAGCACCCAGCAGGCCCACAGGGGCACCAAGCAGCAGGCTCCATGCTGGGGCAACGCCGAGGTCAAGGCCCTCCTGGACATCTGGGCCAGGAGGAGGCCCGCCGGGACCCCAAGTCCAGGAGGAGAAATGCTGATATCTTTGCCCGCATAGCCCAGGTGCTGACCGCACAGGAACACCTGGCCCGGACCCTGAAACAGGTCCGGGTCAAGGTGAAAGACCTGTGGCTCACCTACGTACGGGCCAGCGAGAGTGGGGGCAGTGAAGCCACAGCCTGTCCCCATTACCACTGCCTGCACAGTATCCTCGGGGACACGGGGGCCGAAGCCCTGCAGGCCCAGGTGGACACAGCAGTGGCCACCCCAGTGGTCCGGCCAACGGACCCAGAAGAGGAGGAGGGCAACCGGACCACCAAGTAGGAGGAAGAGGATGGCAGCCAGAGCCCACCAGCCCGGCCCCGCAGCCACGATGTGTCCTGGGCCTCCTTGGAGGCTGGCGAGGGATCATCTGGTGAGTGTTGCAGCTGCCACTCGCAAGTGTACAGGGGGCAGAAGGACCATGGGATGGGGGAGAGGGCACAGCACATGGCACAGCCTGGCCAGATGCTGCGCAGCGGCATGCAGCATGTGCAACCCTGTGCAGCCAGACCAAGTGGCACATGAACACGGCAGCCAGCCCCAGCACACTCCTGGGATCCCAGGGGTCATGCACACCCAGCCTGGGGGAGGGGGATCCGGCTGGGAGCAGCCCAGCCCCAAGGGCGCAGGCTGGACCCCACGCAGCCCAAGGATGCTGCACACAGCATGCATCCATGGCCACCTGTGGGACACAGTGGCTGCCCCAGGGGAAGGCACAACAGGCCCCTCCCCCCAGCACATGTGGGCACACAGGTGCCTGCGGGCCACCTCTGGCTCCCCTGCTGCCCCATCCTGTGGCCCCCCAACCTCGGCACCTCCTAGTGCAGCCTGCCCCTGCATCCTTGTAAGTAAAAGTGTGTTTTTGTAACTCAGTGCATGATATTTATTGGGAGGTGAGGGAAGGGTGGCAGGAAGGGGTGGTGATGTGAGTGGGAGGTGGAGGCACGGGGGGAACCCTGCGGTCGAAGGCATAGGTGTAGCCTACTGTAGGGCCCGGTCCAGCAGCACCTGGAGGGCTTCCCGGACCCACATCCTGTCGCGGTTCATCTGCCGGGCGCCAGCCATCTGCGGCTGCTGGTAGGCCTGGCCCTCACCTGCCATCCACCCCGGGAGGAAGGCCTCTCTCTTCCCCTCAATAATATTATGCAGCACACAGCACGCTGAGATGCACCCCCATGTCCAGGCGGGTCAGGAGGCACCTGAACCGTGCCTTCAGGCGCCCGAAGCCGCACTCCACGGGGTTGCGGGCCCAGTCCAGGTGGACCTTAAAGGAGGCCTGGCTGCAGTCCAGTTGGCCCATGTATGGCTTTATCAGCCAGGCCATT